CTTCTAGTCTTCTTGACTTCGGGCTGCAGGTAGTTTCAGAAAGAGAGAATGCGGTAGATGCTGCAAAAGTCTACTATCAAGTAAAACTAACCGACGCGTGCAAGTCACCATCACCCTGTCGAACTCCACATAGACAGCCTGCCGCAGGTTGAGGAGCAGAAAACCCACTAACCGTTTGAATTGACGGTAGGCGCCTGCCCAACCGCTTAGGGTTTGATGCTTTATTAAACGGCATACTGCCTGAGAATGTGACAACCCATCCTTTTCTCACTACGAATAGGTTACTACGTAAAATTTCGGATTAGTTGTTTCACCGATAATCAGAAAATAGTGCAGTGTCAGCTTACGACAAATCCACAAAACAGCCCGTTTGGTAAAGAGCGGGAGAGAGTATTGTGCAGTGATAGCTACAATTCCTCGTCTTGTAAACGCAAGGCTTAGTCATCTAGGTAACGGTGGACTTCACATACGTTTAATTTGTTTTTCACATCGGGCCTAGCTGTGTTAGAGTACTGGAAGTTTATGGATGCCTTGGCGTTTTAAACTATAACTTAAATTGACAGTTTCACAATCACTCTGAGTGAATATAACTGACTGCCGCGTGCACGCTGGGAATAATTGTCCCTGCACATGGTCTAAACCGTGGTGGAGCACTGAGCCTAGTATACCTTAATTCATGAACCCAATGCGACGACTGGAGGCGGGTGGTACGCCAGTGTTAATCAAAACAGCTGAGCAAATGTTTTGCCAATCACGCTGCTCTCAATCGTATGGTTATCGTCGATACCGATTTAGGAAGATTGTCTCCTGAAAATTTTGTGGTGGCAACATCTAAAACTAATCATGGACATACTTGTCCAAGAATGCAGGATGAGCTGCATGTCAGACACCTGCGCGATGCGTGGCGTCGGCATCAGTGACTAGAACGACAACTTATGTCCTCACGAAGGTTCGAAAACACGCAATTCCCAAAGACGCTGTCACTATCATGGTCTCTGTTTGACTAAAGGACAGCTTCATCGCACGGACATGGAAGAGTCTATAGTGAAACGATCTACCAGGATCCTAGAGTAAGGGTTGGTCGCCCCTTAATCGGCTTAAAATTTACCGTTTGATAGGACACCTTTGCAAAAAATTCTGGAATAAATCTATTCAGCACCACCATCATGCTGGCCGGTATAGCTTAAGACCACGTTTAACCTGAAAAATGAACAAGTCTAGCAACGAATTTATATCAACTAGCAGAGGCAAAGATGTCACGAGAATGGCAACACCATGATGCATGAGGCGAATGGATAACTGTGCCATCCATATGCGGCATCCGCTACGTCGGCCTGAAAAGGAATTCACTGGGTAAGCAATTTCGTGAGCTCATGGAAGACTTGCACCCAGACGTCGGCTAACCGACCTGGACCAAATCGACTATATTACCCTGGTAGCGTAAAGCTTTAATTATTTAAAGAGCATGGAGAATGGAGTTGTTTCATCACCCGATTTATCCATCACGGGCGAGAAGACAAAAGTGTTTTAGATTGATAACTATCATGTTCAATAAATTGACAGTTTTAAAAAATGCTGCCTTACATCGTCCCTCGAATCTTCATGCTGACACAAATTTGAAATGCCCGCGAAACGTTTATGGACTCCAAGCTATGGCTGTATTCATACAAGAACTCTCTGTACAGCGTAGGCGTCCGCGAAGTTTTTCTAACTGGTGAACATCGGCTTTTGGGTGAGGATTAATGTTTCCTGAAAAGCCCTTTTTCGAGAGAAGGAAATGAGACTGCTGTAGGCGATACAACTTGAGCTAACTGTAGCAACTTCATAAGGATATTCGAAGTCGTTCTAGAAGAACGACTATGATGGTTAAGTCGGGTACCTCGCCCCCACCCCATGGAGTGCACGCTGATGTCCTTGATTGAGTGGTGCTTCACGCCTCAAAGCGCGAAGGATCAGTTAAAAACCTGCTTCAACACTGATTTTCATGACACGGTGGTCCTGAGGCCTTCATTAAGCAGTCTCTGTAGCACGAAAAGATAATGGACCGACTCCTCTGCAAACGTTGCCGCGGACAGTCACTGATGCGGACACAAGTCACGACATTCTCAAGGAAGGTTAGATCAAGTATGACCACCGACGTAGCAAGTGCAAGTACAGATAATAAGGGAAATGCCAAGTAGTACAATAATCGCATGGTTCCGGCGAGCGGAAGATATAAACTAGTCGCAGGTCAGGATTGGATAAAATTGCCGCCGAGCTCATTCCATAGCTATACTATCACACAACTCCTAAACAGTGTTATCAGTTTCCCATTTTATAGCACAACTGCATGAAGTAGAAGCGCCGACCGGTTTAGCCTATGCTTCAAAACGACAATGATACAGTCCAGCGAGCGATATTTAGCAGCAATAAATAATGATAGAATTCGTCAGAGAATGAAACAAGCCTTTTTAGCAATCAAATGCGATGTAGAATCCGAAACAAATATTCTTATATTTACCTCCTTGCTGATTTTGATCAGGGAATAAAGCCTGGTATTCTGGTCTTGAGGCCCTGGCGGTCCAATTTAATTCGGGGAAAAAACTGGGTTGAGCAACTTGTTGTACAACACCGACAGCGTTACACAAATTCTGAGCTTGCAAATTTACGGCGTCTTGGAGTTCAGTCAAGCGATCTGCCATTTAAGAATTATTTTCCATGCAGCAGATGGAAGATAACCTGCAAAACAAATAAGTCGGGTAGTCAGAGAACCATGAAATACTGAGACAAACACCCTAAATGAGTCAACACTATTAATGAGCGCTACTTTTACAGCTTACGTGATTTCGACAAAGCTTTGCAAGCAACCGATTTTTGGGCAGGAAATTTTGGAATTTGAAAATTGGGTCAAGTTGAGCGGAACTAATTAGACAGTGAGAATAAGTCTTCAGACATTATCATAAGATACTGAATATTCTAGGTGCTGAGAATAAGTGGGACGTGTCAAGGCATATTGTAAATCCTTTCATATCCGAAGTAGTCAGTGGACAGCCACAGGGACCAACGCACAAAAACAGATACATATTAGCAGGGCAAACCCAGTTTTATATGTGCACAAGTCAACTTCTTCACGGGTTAGCAGTGATAAATAACTGTTTTTCGGCCTAAAACAGAGGATAAAATTCTGCAATTCGCTACCCACGTGAAG